CCCTCCCTTAGCAATTCTTGTCTCTGTGCCCTCCCTTAGCAATTCTTGTCTCTGTGCCCTCCCTTAGCAATTCTTGTCTCTGTGCCCTCCCTTAGCAATTATTGTCTCTGTGCCCTCCCTTAGCAATTCTTGTCTCTGTGCCCTCCCTTAGCAATTCTTGTCGCTGTGCCCTCCCTTAGCAATTCTTGTCGCTGTGCCCTCCTTTAGCAATTCTTGTCGCTGTGCCCTCCCTTAGCAATTCTTGTCGCTGTGCCCTCCCTTAGCAATTCTTGTCGCTGTGCCCTCCCTTAGCAATTCTTGTCGCTGTGCCCTCCCTTAGCAATTCTTGTCGCTGTGCCCTCCCTTAGCAATTCTTGTCTCTGTGCCCTCCCTTCGCAATTCTTGTCGCTGTGCCCTCCCTTAGCAATTCTTGTCGCTGTGCCCTCCCTTAGCAATTCTTGTCTCTGTGCCCTCCCTTAGCAATTCTTGTCGCTGTGCCCTCCCTTAGCAATTCTTGTCGCTGTGCCCTCCCTTAGCAATTCTTGTCTCTGTGCCCTCCCTTAGCAATTCTTGTCGCTGTGCCCTCCCTTAGCAATTCTTGTCGCTGTGCCCTCCCTTAGCAATTCTTGTCGCTGTGCGCTCCCTTAGCAATTCTTGTCGCTGTGCCCTCCCTTAGCAATTCTTGTCGCTGTGCCCTCCCTTAGCAATTCTTGTCGCTGTGCCCTCCCTTAGCAATTCTTGTCTCTGTGCCCTCCCTTAGCAATTCTTGTCTCTGTGCCCTCCCTTAGCAATTCTTGTCTCTGTGCCCTCCCTTAGCAATTATTGTCTCTGTGCCCTCCCTTAGCAATTCTTGTCGCTGTGCCCTCCCTTAGCAATTCTTGTCGCTGTGCCCTCCCTTAGCAATTCTTGTCGCTGTGCCCTCCTTTAGCAATGCTTGTCGCTGTGCCCTCCCTTAGCAATTCTTGTCGCTGTGCCCTCCCTTAGCAATTCTTGTCGCTGTGCCCTCCCTTAGCAATTCTTGTCGCTGTGCCCTCCCTTAGCAATTCTTGTCTCTGTGCCCTCCCTTAGCAATTCTTGTCGCTGTGCCCTCCCTTAGCAATTCTTGTCGCTGTGCCCTCCCTTAGCAATTCTTGTCTCTGTGCCCTCCCTTAGCAATTCTTGTCGCTGTGCCCTCCCTTAGCAATTCTTGTCGCTGTGCCCTCCCTTAGCAATTCTTGTCGCTGTGCCCTCCCTTAGCAATTCTTGTCTCTGTGCCCTCCCTTAGCAATTCTTGTCTCTGTGCCCTCCCTTAGCAATTCTTGTCGCTGTGCCCTCCCTTAGCAATTCTTGTCTCTGTGCCCTCCCTTAGCAATTCTTGTCTCTGTGCCCTCCCTTAGCAATTCTTGTCGCTGTGCCCTCCCTTAGCAATTCTTGTCGCTGTGCCCTCCCTACGCAATTCTTGTCGCTGTGCCCTCCCTTAGCAATTCTTGTCTCTGTGCCCTCCCTTAGCAATTCTTGTCTCTGTGCCCTCCCTTAGCAATTCTTGTCGCTGTGCCCTCCCTTAGCAATTCTTGTCGCTGTGCCCTCCCTTAGCAATTCTTGTCTCTGTGCCCTCCCTTAGCAATTCTTGTCGCTGTGCCCTCCCTTAGCAATTCTTGTCGCTGTGCCCTCCCTTAGCAATTCTTGTCGCTGTGCGCTCCCTTAGCAATTCTTGTCGCTGTGCCCTCCCTTAGCAATTCTTGTCGCTGTGCCCTCCCTTAGCAATTCTTGTCGCTGTGCCCTCCCTTAGCAATTCTTGTCTCTGTGCCCTCCCTTAGCAATTCTTGTCTCTGTGCCCTCCCTTAGCAATTCTTGTCGCTGTGCCCTCCCTTAGCAATTCTTGTCGCTGTGCCCTCCCTTAGCAATTCTTGTCGCTGTGCCCTCCTTTAGCAATTCTTGTCGCTGTGCCCTCCCTTAGCAATTCTTGTCGCTGTGCCCTCCCTTAGCAATTCTTGTCGCTGTGCCCTCCCTTAGCAATTCTTGTCGCTGTGCCCTCCCTTAGCAATTCTTGTCTCTGTGCCCTCCCTTAGCAATTCTTGTCGCTGTGCCCTCCCTTAGCAATTCTTGTCGCTGTGCCCTCCCTTAGCAATTCTTGTCTCTGTGCCCTCCCTTAGCAATTCTTGTCGCTGTGCCCTCCCTTAGCAATTCTTGTCGCTGTGCCCTCCCTTAGCAATTCTTGTCGCTGTGCCCTCCCTTAGCAATTCTTGTCTCTGTGCCCTCCCTTAGCAATTCTTGTCTCTGTGCCCTCCCTTAGCAATTCTTGTCGCTGTGCCCTCCCTTAGCAATTCTTGTCTCTGTGCCCTCCCTTAGCAATTCTTGTCTCTGTGCCCTCCCTTAGCAATTCTTGTCGCTGTGCCCTCCCTTAGCAATTCTTGTCGCTGTGCCCTCCCTACGCAATTCTTGTCGCTGTGCCCTCCCTTAGCAATTCTTGTCTCTGTGCCCTCCCTTAGCAATTCTTGTCTCTGTGCCCTCCCTTAGCAATTCTTGTCTCTGTGCCCTCCCTTAGCAATTCTTGTCGCTGTGCCATCCCTTAGCAATTCTTGTCGCTGTGCGCTCCCTTAGCAATTCTTGTCGCTGTGCCCTCCCTTAGCAATTCTTGTCGCTGTGCCCTCCCTTAGCAATTCTTGTCGCTGTGCCCTCCCTTAGCAATTCTTGTCGCTGTGCCCTCCCTTAGCAATTCTTGTCGCTGTGCCCTCCCTTAGCAATTCTTGTCGCTGTGCCCTCCCTTAGCAATTCTTGTCTCTGTGCCCTCCCTTAGCAATTCTTGTCTCTGTGCCCTCCCTTAGCAATTCTTGTCTCTGTGCCCTCCCTTAGCAATTATTGTCTCTGTGCCCTCCCTTAGCAATTCTTGTCGCTGTGCCCTCCCTTAGCAATTCTTGTCGCTGTGCCCTCCCTTAGCAATTCTTGTCGCTGTGCCCTCCTTTAGCAATTCTTGTCGCTGTGCCCTCCCTTAGCAATTCTTGTCGCTGTGCCCTCCCTTAGCAATTCTTGTCGCTGTGCCCTCCCTTAGCAATTCTTGTCGCTGTGCCCTCCCTTAGCAATTCTTGTCTCTGTGCCCTCCCTTAGCAATTCTTGTCGCTGTGCCCTCCCTTAGCAATTCTTGTCGCTGTGCCCTCCCTTAGCAATTCTTGTCTCTGTGCCCTCCCTTAGCAATTCTTGTCGCTGTGCCCTCCCTTAGCAATTCTTGTCGCTGTGCCCTCCCTTAGCAATTCTTGTCGCTGTGCCCTCCCTTAGCAATTCTTGTCGCTGTGCCCTCCCTTAGCAATTCTTGTCGCTGTGCCCTCCCTTAGCAATTCTTGTCGCTGTGCCCTCCCTTAGCAATTCTTGTCGCTGTGCCCTCCCTTAGCAATTCTTGTCGCTGTGCCCTCCCTTAGCAATTCTTGTCGCTGTGCCCTCCCTTAGCAATTCTTGTCGCTGTGCCCTCCCTTAGCAATTCTTGTCTCTGTGCCCTCCCTTAGCAATTCTTGTCGCTGTGCCCTCCCTTAGCAATTCTTGTCGCTGTGCGCTCCCTTAGCAATTCTTGTCGCTGTGCCCTCCCTTAGCAATTCTTGTCGCTGTGCCCTCCCTTAGCAATTCTTGTCGCTGTGCGCTCCCTTAGCAATTCTTGTCGCTGTGCCCTCCCTTAGCAATTCTTGTCGCTGTGCCCTCCCTTAGCAATTCTTGTCGCTGTGCCCTCCCTTAGCAATTCTTGTCTCTGTGCCCTCCCTTAGCAATTCTTGTCTCTGTGCCCTCCCTTAGCAATTCTTGTCTCTGTGCCCTCCCTTAGCAATTATTGTCTCTGTGCCCTCCCTTAGCAATTCTTGTCGCTGTGCCCTCCCTTAGCAATTCTTGTCGCTGTGCCCTCCCTTAGCAATTCTTGTCGCTGTGCCCTCCTTTAGCAATTCTTGTCGCTGTGCCCTCCCTTAGCAATTCTTGTCGCTGTGCCCTCCCTTAGCAATTCTTGTCGCTGTGCCCTCCCTTAGCAATTCTTGTCGCTGTGCCCTCCCTTAGCAATTCTTGTCTCTGTGCCCTCCCTTAGCAATTCTTGTCGCTGTGCCCTCCCTTAGCAATTCTTGTCGCTGTGCCCTCCCTTAGCAATTCTTGTCTCTGTGCCCTCCCTTAGCAATTCTTGTCGCTGTGCCCTCCCTTAGCAATTCTTGTCGCTGTGCCCTCCCTTAGCAATTCTTGTCGCTGTGCCCTCCCTTAGCAATTCTTGTCGCTGTGCCCTCCCTTAGCAATTCTTGTCGCTGTGCCCTCCCTTAGCAATTCTTGTCTCTGTGCCCTCCCTTAGCAATTCTTGTCGCTGTGCCCTCCCTTAGCAATTCTTGTCGCTGTGCCCTCCCTTAGCAATTCTTGTCTCTGTGCCCTCCCTTAGCAATTCTTGTCGCTGTGCCCTCCCTTAGCAATTCTTGTCGCTGTGCCCTCCCTTAGCAATTCTTGTCTCTGTGCCCTCCCTTCGCAATTCTTGTCGCTGTGCCCTCCCTTAGCAATTCTTGTCGCTGTGCCCTCCCTCTGCTCTCCTTGTCTCTCCCTGTGCGCTCCCTTTGCTCTTCGTTTCTCCCTGTGTATGGGCGTGTAGCTGATGATACCGCTGGACAAGATGGGTGCACTCACCACAGCATCTGCATCTCACCTTCCCTTCCCCACCTCCATGTGCGTGCCTTCTCCCTGCTCCCTGTGCCCTCCCTCTGCTCTCCTTGTCTCTCCCTGTGCCCTCCCTCTGCTCTCCTTGTCTCTCCCTGTGTCCTCCCTCTGCTCTCCTTGTCTCTCCCTGTGCCCTCCCTCTGCTCTCCTTGTCTCTCCCTGTGCCCTCCCTCTGCTCTCCTTGTCTCTCCCTGTGCCCTCCCTCTGCTCTCCTTGTCTCTCCCTGTGTCCTCCCTCTGCTCTCCTTGTCTCTCCCTGTGCCCTCCCTCTGCTCTCCTTGTCACTCCCTGTGCCCTCCCTCTGCTCTCCTTGTCTCTCCCTGTGCCCTCCCTCTGCTCTCCTTGTCTCTCCCTATACCCTCACTCTGCAAGGGCGTGTAGGTGACCATGCCGCTGCACAACATGGGTGTGCAATCTGCTTCTCACAAGGCCATGCTGGTGAGGGGTTCTGAGGTGTGCCGAGGGGCGCTCAGTGGTGCTGCAGGGTGTTAAGGGGTGCTGGGATGCTGGTGCTGGGTGCTGAGGGGTGCCAGTGGGTGCTTAGGGCTGCTGGTTGGTGGGTACTGGTGATGGTGACTGAAAGCTGCTTGTCAATGCTCATGTGTATATTCTTTTGTGTGTGCTAAGTTTCACACTTCCCATCCTTCCCCTTCTCCCATCCCAATCCACCCCCTCCTTTCACATTCTCCCCTCAATTCCCTGACTCCCACAGAGCCTGACCCCCTCCTTTCACATTCTCCCAGTCTTCAAACCACAGACCCCTGACTCCCACAGAGCCTTCTGAAGCCTTCTGTAACGCCTCCCATCTCATTCCCCTCAGTCCCCTTCCCTCCTCTCCTCCCCTTCCCACTCCCCTAATCTCATTCCCCTCAGTCCCCTTCCCTCCTCTCTCCCTCCCCCACCGTCACCCGGCCCTGCCTACCCACACCAGGCCTACCGAACCTTCCTCGAATTCCTCACTCTCCCGACTCTCTATGCTGCAGTCAACGTTCCCCAGGTGCCTCTACGAAATTTCTGTAGCAGGTGACTAGCATGTGACTGTAGCAGGTGACTAGCATGTGACTGTAGCAGGTGACTAGCATGTGACTGTAGCAGGTGACTAGCATGTGACTGTAGCAGGTGACTAGCATGTGACTGTAGCAGGTGACTAGCATGTGACTGTAGCAGGTGACTAGCATGTGACTGTAGCAGGTGACTAGCATGTGACTGTAGCAGGTGACTAGCATGTGACTGTAGCAGGTGACTAGCATGTGACTGTAGCAGGTGACTAGCATGTGACTGTAGCAGGTGACTAGCATGTGACTGTAGCAGGTGACTAGCATGTGACTGTAGCAGGTGACTAGCATGTGACTGTAGCAGGTGACTAGCATGTGACTGTAGCAGGTGACTAGCATGTGACTGTAGCAGGTGACTAGCATGTGACTGTAGCAGGTGACTAGCATGTGACTGTAGCAGGTGACTAGCATGTGACTGTAGCAGGTGACTAGCATGTGACTGTAGCAGGTGACTAGCATGTGACTGTAGCAGGTGACTAGCATGTGACTGTAGCAGGTGACTAGCATGTGACTGTAGCAGGTGACTAGCATGTGACTGTAGCAGGTGACTAGCATGTGACTGTAGCAGGTGACTAGCATGTGACTGTAGCAGGTGACTAGCATGTGACTGTAGCAGGTGACTAGCACGTGACTGTAGCAGTCGACTGTACTAGGTGACCTTGGCAATGTAATCTGAAGCTGCCAATTCATCTGAGATTGTTTCCAACGTCAACTTCACACCTACTTATTCCCCTTCACCACTTCTCAATCCATGTCACCTCTCTCCACTCCTCCATGCCCGCAACATCCCAGGCAGTGCACGTGTATTGGCTCACCAACAACACCCTCACTCTTGCCCAGGTACCCACCCTATCCCTCTGCATCCCTTCCTATCCCCTCTCATCCCTTCGCATCCCTTTCCATCCCTTCCCATCCCCTCTGTTCGCATCCTTTCCCATCCCATCCCATCCCATCCCATTCCCTCCCTTTCCATCCCATCTGATCGCCTCCTTTCCCCTCCCATCCCTTCCCCTCCCTTTCCTTCCCATCCCTTCCCCTCCCTTTCCTTCCCATCCCTTCCCCTCCCTTTTCTTCCCATCCCTTCCCCTCCCTTCCCTTCCCATCCCATCACATCCCTTCCCCTCCCATGCCCATTCACGCTCCCGTATTCCCCCCGCATTAAGCCATTACACCTCATTTCACCGCTTTGAACCACTCTGCCCCCACTCTCTCCCCTCTTCCCCAGGCCTTGGCTCTCCGATCCCCCGCCATCTGTCAAGCCTTAGGCCTGCCCACCATCGCACATCTGCAGGCCATACCGCTTTAAGCCATTCTGCACCGCTTTGAAACCACTCTGTCTGCCCCCTGTTTCTCCCCTTTTCCCCCCCTGTCCCCCAGGCCTTGGCTCTCCGATCTCCCACCATCCGCCAAGCCTTAGGCCTGCCCACCATCGCACAGATGCAGGCCATGCAGCAGCAGCACACTAGCACCATAACTGCTGCTGCTTCTGCCGCCGCTGCTTCCAAGGGAGCTCCTAACAGTGATGTCTCTATTCCTGGTGGCACGGGGAGTGTGGGGCAGTTGGTATCAGAGCAGGAAATTGCACGGCTGACAGACCCCCATGCGTTGCTCGTTGTAAGTACTAATGGGTTTGTCTAATGTCTTCTAAAAAACGTTTGCATGGTGCTGCTGCCTGCAATGGTTTGTTCATGAATATTTGCATGGTGCTGCTGCCTGCAATGGTTTGTTCATGAATATTTGCATGGTGCTGCTGCCTGCAATGGTTTGTTCATGAATATTTGCATGGTGCAACTGTTACCACTACCACAACTGCTGCTAACTGCTGCCTGCAATTGTCTTATCATTCCCTGCAGCTGAACATCGCACCCTTGGCTGTAAGATAGTAAACATGCAAAGTTCTCCCCACAGCCTACAAAGTTCTCCTTGTCATCCCCCTTTCAACAGGCTGCAGCACAGCTGAAGGCCGCAGGGAGTGCGGATTTGGCTGCTTGCGCTCTGAGGTATGCAAGTTGGGGATTTTAGCGAAAATACATTAGGTTCTTCCTCCTAAACTCCCCTTGGTAAGTGCTATGTTAATACATATTCTACTTGCTTGTATAGCATGTGTCAACTACAATGTTGGGAGTGGGAGTGACCTTTGTTGTTGCTGTCATGTGGCCACCGTGTTTCTTATGTTTGCCTCTGACTAGCGATCCCTCACGCATGCTGTTCTTATGGCTCCGTGATTCTTCCCTTGAATTGTTCTTCTCTTCCTACCTGACTGATCCATATTTGCTTCTGATGCGCTACACAATGACTTCAAGCATGTGTAGTGAGTCGAGTTTTGAGTCGAGTTTTGAGTCGAGTTTGAGTCGAGTCAAAACTCGATGCCTTACGCAATGACTTCAACCATGATAAAGAAGTGAAAGTGCTCATTCTCTGTATGTGGAGGTGACAGCTTAGCCCAGTCCAAAATGCTTGCCATTACATTGAGCAGATAGATCAGTGGCAGGTATTATCTTATTGAGTTCAGTGCAATCTCAATTGTATTCATACATCTCAGGGCTTCTGAGATTATCGGAGACTAGAACGAGTTAGGTCTGGTGATCTGGGTCGAATCTAATTTTCTCTGCGACATCTCAGGGCTTCTGACAGACGTGACTCAAAGCTTTGGTGCCTTTTGAGGCGCCTCAACAGACAGACGCGACTCAAACGTTGGTGTCTTAAAGTGTTCTTAAGTGTATGAGTTATAAGCAACGAGTGTATAAGTGTCACATGGTTTGCCATTCTATGTCTGCCACCTCTTTCCTCCCTCCAGGCGTGTTCTGGAGATCGACCAATCGGCATCCTCCGCATGGCTGGGATTGGGTCAGATGCACAGCGGTGCAGGGCGGTGGGTGGAGGCAGCTGAATGCTTCTCCCAGGCAATCAACCACTCCAAGGTACTTACTCACTTACCCTCACCAGGCTCAATGCTGATGTCCATCATCCTCCTCATCCTCCTCATCCTCCTCATCCTCCTCATCCTCCTCATCCTCCTGCTCCATGGTGACTTTTGAGTGGACTCAAAAGTCACCTCGTTACAATAGCCCACTCCAAGCTACTTGCTTACCTACCCTCACCAGGCTCAATGCTGATGTCTATCTATCCTCCTGCTCCATTCCCTTATTTTTTAAGGCCTTTCAGACTGCACCGCACTTAACCCATTTTCTTTTACCACATGCCCTGCAGGAGCGTGCTGACGTGGCAGTACAGCTGGCAGCTCACCTGGGCGCGGGTGTGGCATTGGCACAGCAGGTGGGTTGAGGTGAGGTAGGGGAATTGGTGCTGCAGGTGGGGTGGGATGTGGGTGCATTGGCACGGAATGTGGATTCCAGTGCATGCATGTTGATTACATCCAGTCCTGTCTGCTGGACATGCACATGCAAATCACAATAAGAGCCCCATGAGGCATTCAAAAGACACTTAGCTCCATTGTTAGGTTAAGACAGGCACAGGAGTTCATGTTTTTTTTTTAGCAAAACTGTCTTACATTACACTGTCAACCCTCGCTCTCCTGCACTATCCCTTCACCCCACCCCTCTCTTCCCTCAGAGTCGTCCTGTGGAGGCAAAGGTACTGCTCCAGGTGGCAGCAGTTACGGTGCTCGATGGGGAGCACAAGGGAGTCTCTCTTAAACGCCACTCTTCTCTTTCCCTCTTCACCTCTTCCCTTGCTTCACCCCACCCCTCTCTTCCCTCAGAGTCGTCCTGTGGAGGCGAAGGTACTGCTTCAGGTGTGATGAGTCTATTTTTTAGTCGACTCTAAAATAGACTGTGGAGGCAAAGATACTGCTCCAAGTGGCAGCAGAGACGGTGCTCGATGGGGAGCACAAGAGAGATGCTCTGAATGTCTATTTGTGAGGCACCAAAATAAGCACCACTCTCGGCTCCCTCTCTCCCTCTCCTTCCACCACCCCGTCTCCCTCTCTCACTACCACAGACCGTCCGTTAGAGACCAAGGCATTGCTGCAGGTGGCAGCAGAGACGGTGCTGGAGGGGGAGCACAAGAGAGACCCTCTTAAACGCAACTCTTCTCTCTCCCTCTTCACCTCCTCCCTTGCTTCGCTTCATCCCTCTTCATCCAGAGCCGTCCATTGGAGGCCAAGGCGTTGCTGCAGGTGGCAGCAGAGACGGTGCTGGAGGGGGAGCACAAGAGAGACCCTCTGAACCGACGACGACACGCACAGGCCATGCTGGCCCTTGCAAGGTAGTGCGGTTCAATTGTTACGAACAAGCATTGACATTTGAGGCGCCTCAAACGACGCAGACACGCACAGGCCATGCTGGCCCTTGCAATGTAGTGCTGCGAAAAGGTAATCAGTTGTACAGAAATGGTTCTGAAGTTTACCAGTCATGCTGAACCTTCCTGTCGTCCCCCTGACCCTGCTCTCCCCCTTTCCGCATCTCCTCCCCTGCTCCTTCTCCTCTCCCCACCTCCCTTCTCTCCCATCCCCTTGAATGCAGAGGGAAACCGCAGGGAGGCATGAAAGCGGGTGGCAGCAGCGTTTTGGCGCGATGAATGATGCACACTACGGTCCTCATGTTTTTTTTAAGTCTCCTTCCACCTTTCCCCGTTTTTTCCCAGCCTCTTGAGTGCAGAGGGGAACCGCAGGGAGGCAAAGAAGTGGGTAGTTGCAGCTGCAGACTATGACCCTTCTGTGCTGGACACATTCGGTCAGGAGCTTGAGGGAGAGGAGGAGGGCGTCGTGCAAGGGAAAGGGGAAAGGGTGTGAGAACATTACCTTCCGAAATAGACTCCTGAAAGTGGGTGGCAGCAGCTGCAGACTACGACTCTTCTGTGCTGGACACGTTCGGTCAGGAGATTGATGGGGAGGAAGGTGGGGATGCGGTGCAAGGGAAAGGAGGGGATGTGTGAGGGCAACTCTGAAGTGGGTGGCAGCAGCAGCAGACTATGACCCTTCTGTGCTGGACGTTCGGTTAGGAGCTTGAGGGAGAGGAGGGGGAGGAGGGCGTGGTGGAAGGGAAAGGAGGGGGTGTTTGAGGGCAACACCTTGACTTGGAAGTGGGTGGCAGCAGCTGCTGACTATGAGCCTTCTGTGCTGGACATGTTCGGTCAGGAGCTTGAAGGAGAGGAGGAGGAGGGAGGGGGAGGAGGAGGAGGAGGGGGAGGAGGAGGAGGAGGAGGAGGAGGAGGAGGAGGAGGAGGAGGAGGAGGAGGAGGAGGAGGAGGAGGAGGAGGAGGAGGAGGAGGAGGAGGAGGAGGAGGAGGAGGAGGAGGGCGTGGTGCAAGGGAAAGGAGGAGTTCTGTGAGGGCAACGCCCTGACTTTGAAGTGTGTGGCAGCAGTGGCGGATTATATCCTTTCTGTGCTGGACACGTTTGGTCAGGAGCTTGAGGGAGAGGAGGAGGGGGGGTTGGGCGTAGTGCAAGGAAAGCGGGGTGTGATGTATTGAAGGTGCGCCTGGCTCGACTATGAAGTCGGCAGAGAGGTGATAGTGGGTGGCAGCAGCAGCAGACTATGATCCTTCTGTGCTGGACATGTTCAGTCAGGAGCTTGAGGGGGAGGAGGAAGAGGGGAACGTGGTGCAAGGCAAGAGGGAAGGGTTGTGAGGAAAGCACATTTGAAGTCCACTCGAAACCCGCAAGGAGGCAAGAAAGTGGGTGATAGCACTTGCAGACTACTATGACCCTTTTGTGCTGAACATGTTGTGGTTGGGGGCTTGAGGAAGAGGAGGAGCAAGGCGGGGAGCGTTGTGCAAGGGAAGAGGAAAGGGTAGAGTTCTTACATGTTGGAAACAAGTAACTTAAAACGCTTCTGAAGTAACTTCTCAGCCCAACATTACAGAACGCCCCCCACACACTGAACAAAGCTCACTCTCACCACTATCCAAGCAAGTGTTGCTGACTCTTTAGGCAACTAAACAAAATAATGGGTTTCTATTCAGCCTTTTATTTGTATTGAATCAGGCTGTAGATAAAATTACAGGAAGCACCTATCGCTTCTCTTGTGACTCCCTCCCATCATGTGCTGTTTCTCCCACCACTTCCCCACAGTCCACTCCCCCTGCCACTCCCTCCTGTTGGGAACAAACAATCTTAAGCGCCTCTGTCGTGTCGAAACACCAAGGCACAAGCGAAGCAGAGCATATCGAGGCACCAGCGAGTCAACCCTCGGAGGTTGAAGTAACCGCTGGAGGTTACGCGAAAGTCAAAGGTCAGCGACCTTTGACTTGACAAATGCAGCGCGACAGCAAGGACACACAACTGACTCGACATTGAGCAGTTGCCCGAGTCGCACTGTATCGAACCGCAACAGTAAAACAGTTTAATTATATCTCTTCGTATTCTTTGTACTCTTATATAAACCTTTGTACTTGCTTGTTTTGATCAACTTACTTTGCCCTCACATACCAGCGCAAGGTGGTTCAAGGACTTCATTTAAACGCTTCCGCTACTACATCACTCTACCCAGAGTTTAACCCTACCAAAGATCCTAAGGGGCACTCAGCCCAACATGGTATGAGAGCTGGTTAGGGTTAAAATTATTTCTCCTTAACACCTAATACACCAAGAGACATGTCTACCAGAAAGGAGAGGAGCTCCTCCAACGGCTCTCCTGGTACTACTCCTACTCCACCTCCTGCCTCTGGCCTACAGACAGAGGAAGGCACAACAACGAGACCGGCAGCTGGGTCTACTGAAACACCCGCAAACCAAGGCGCGGGCTTCGATCCAAGCATGATGGAGAAGTTCTTCTCCTTCATGTCCTTCTACGAGCAGCATCAGCAAGGAGCACCTGCGCAATCAAACAACAGCAACAACAACAACAACGTGACGCCCATGAGTCTCGATGGCTCATCCTACGCACGCGGGAATCAACAACAGCAACCTACCTTCGCTCCGTACGAGCCCCAGCGCGGCTCCGTCAGCTTCATGCCACAACCACAACCTGCACCGGGACAAGAGAGAACGCTGGACGCACTACAAGTTCAGTCGCAGTTCGCGCACGTTCTAAAACTGCAAACGACAAAACCCTTCGACGGGAAGGATTTCTTTACCTGGTCGTTCGAATTCGAGCTGATGATGGAAGGAGCGCAAATCCTTGGCTTCTTCGACGGGTCCCTGCCATACCCAACAAACGGCACACAGTATGAGAAGCAGCAGTACACCTATCAATCGATGATGGCGTACACGATACTACTGAGGAACATCACTCCAACTCAACAACAAAACATACGGTCTTACCGCGGCTATGGCAACAGTACCTACACGCTCGCCTCATTCGCATCGGATTCCGCCAACTACCTCACGACCAAGGAATGTACCGACTCACTAAAGACACCGACTACATTCTGCTGATCGTCTACGTAGACGACCTACTCTACATCGGCTCCACTGACGACATCACCACCTGGTTCGAAGGGGAGCTACAGAGGGACCTCACACTCACGGTCTCCTCTACCGTCACACAGTACCTCGGCTTGAACATTCGGGAAGAAGGCGCGATCTACCTCAACGCCGCTAAGTACGCCGACACCATCGCCAAACGCTTCGCGCTCACACCTACCACCATCTCTACGCCCTACCGCTACGCGACAGGAAACCACAAGGAAGGATCCTCTCTACTCAAATCCGCCGGGATACGCGACTACCAGAGAAAGCTAGGATGCCTTCTCTTCGCAGCTGTCACCTGCCGCCCCGACCTCTCATACTCCGCAAGCCAGCTCGCCACCTACCTCAAGAAGCCTGAAGCAGAACACCTGGCGGAGCTCGACCGCGCTCTCCACTACTTCGTCAGTACCTCAACGATCGGCCTAACTTACTACAAGAACACAACTACACCGACTAAATTAATCGGCTACGTCGACGCTGATCACGCTGGCGACTCCGACAACAGGCGCTCCCGCACCGGCTACATCTACCGCCTCGAACCTATCGGACTGATCTCCTGGCAATCGAGCAAGCAGGAATTAATTGCTCTCTCGTCAGCTGAAGCAGAATATATTGCACTCTGCTCAGCCACCAAGGAAGGACTCTATCTTCGCGAGCTGCTGGAAGAAGCGAAGTTAGCCGAGTTACCCAACTTCACTCTGTTCTGCGACAACCAATCTGCAATTCGCATCGCCAACAAAAATGGATTCGCGAACAGAACGAAGCATATCGCTCTGCGATATTTCTTCGTGAAAGACGAGATTGAGAAGGGGAGACTTGAACTATCCTACTGTCCCACGTCCGAGATGGCAACTGACTACTTGACCAAGAAGCTCGGAAAACAGAAGTTCGAGTACTGCATGCTGCTGACTGGACAAAGCCACGTCACCAGCAGCGACACTCCAGAAGCGAAGGGGAGTGTTGGGAACAAACAATCTTAAGCGCCTCTGTCGTGTCGAAACACCAAGGCACAAGCGAAGCAGAGCATATCGAGGCACCAGCGAGTCAACCCTCGGAGGTTGAAGTAACCGCTGGAGGTTACGCGAAAGTCAAAGGTCAGCGACCTTTGACTTGACAAATGCAGCGCGACAGCAAGGACACACAACTGACTCGACATTGAGCAGTTGCCCGAGTCGCACTGTATCGAACCGCAACAGTAAAACAGTTTAATTATATCTCTTCGTATTCTTTGTACTCTTATATAAACCTTTGTACTTGCTTGTTTTAATCAACTTACTTTGCCCTCACATACCAGCGCAAGGTGGTTCAAGGACTTCATTTAAACGCTTCCGCTACTACATCACTCTACCCAGAGTTTAACCCTACCAAAGATCCTAAGGGGCACTCAGCCCAACACCTCCCACTCCAGTTCTAACATTTCTTTTCTCTCACCACCACCTTAAATACTGAAATCCTCCTCCTGTATCTCACACCCACCCATCCACACTTAAGTCCTCATGTCTCACCACGATCCCCTGTCCCAGGTACAAATGCGTCTTTATGCAACCCATCCAACCCTGTATGTTTCACTCCATTCCCTCGCCACCCTCAAAGTATTTTGTACGTCTAATTCTCCTGTCCGTCCAAAACAAGCCAATGGTGAACACAGGGTCGCACGGGAGACGACAAGAAGTTATCGAGAGAAATCACAACAGGATCCCCCCCCCCATAATCGAATTTAGTGTTTTGATGGCACACATGGCCGACAAATGTTATTTCAAAGAGCTGCTCAAATTAGTCCCTGGGCAAGAGAGTTGCATGTCATAAATAGAACGTAGTAATGATGCGCACGGGCTGCAGGGCAGGGCAGCGCGCAGGCTGCAGGGCTGCGCGAGCAGGGCACCGCGCGGGCTGCAGGGCGTGTGGCCAGCCGGGCAGGGCAGCGCACGGGCTGCAGGGAAGGGCGGCACGCGGGCTGCAGGGCAGGGCGGCGCGCGGGCTGCAGGGCTGCGCAGGCAGGGCAGCGCACGGGCTGTATGGCGTGCGTGCAGCAGGGCTAGGGCAGAGCGCGGGCTGCAGGGCAGGGCGGCGCGTGCGGAGAGTCACTACACAACGGGAGTGGACTACGGAGGAGGGCACGAGGTTGTGCGAGTGATCGTAGCTTGTACTAAGTTTGGCAAGAATTCCACTAAGGAAGTTGAAAAAACAATTTGCATTGAAAAGTTGATAGAACAATTGAGGCATGCAGAACAAAAGGACTAGAATGGCATGCAACACCTAGCAAGGGCGAAATCTTCCAGCGCAGCAGAGGAGTGGCTTGCCAACACTGCAGCAAAGTTGTCTGCCAGCGTTGCACTGCGCGCGGTCTGCCAGCACTGCAGTCGCAGGTGACTATCTGCAGTCGCAGGCAACTATCTGCAGTCGCAGGTTGTCTATCTGCGCAGATGTGCGCACCTACCAAGTAGGTGCAGGTTGACGATTTCACCGCCAGGCACATTGCGCAGGTGCCAGGTAGAAAATGTGTCGTCGGTTTCGCCAGGTGCGCACCGTCAACCACATGATGCCGTTCCGCAGGTAGAGCTTCGCCAAAACCTCCTGGGCGAAAGTTCGCACGCCTCCGCAGAGTTTCGCACACCTCTGCGAATTCGGTCGATTAGCTCGACATCGCTCGGTCGAACAGCGTTCGCTGAGCAGAGCTCCTCGACCCGAACTCTTCGACCAGAGTTCTTCAACCAGGATCGTCGACTAGCGCTCCTCGACGGAAGCTCGTCGACCAAAGTTCATCGCACAGAGCTCGTCGACCAGATTCTGCTCGACCGCAACTTCCGTCGAGCTTCAGAAGCCCATTTCGTCGACCAATCCGTCGCGAACTTCTCGTCGACGGCAAGATCGGCTGCGCCCAAGCGAGGGCGGGGCCTTTCTCTTCGACAACGCGTGGGC